ACTTGCAGTGTGTTCAGATCCTTCCTAAAAATTAAACCAATGTTAACCTCATTCCAAACATATCTGGTAACCTATTTGATTCAAAGTATAGTTGGCTTCAATAATTCATTTAACATATTTACATGGATTCACCCATGTATAATAAACTACAAAATAAACTACCATAAACATAATAATCAAATAAACCAATAAATAAAAATAATTATGTCATTATTTTAATTGGGAAAGAAGTACATTAGAATGTTGAACTAATTAATAGAAAAATTTAGTGAAAGTCTTGGATTTAAACGAAAAACCATTGAGTCATTTTAACAAACATGTTATGAGCATAAGTGAGAAGTGGAGTGATTGAACTAACATTTCAAGAACAAAGACTACATTCTCTTACCATAATACAAAATACTCAACTATTCATTGCTATATCATACATAATATACAAAAAAAGCTTGAAATTTAAATAAATGTAACCCTAAAATGCACATAGAAAAATCGAATTAGATTATCACCTTAATATTACAGGTTGTTGTTCGTAGCTTCTTTTTTGAGCTGCCAAAACCCACTGTCCCATCCTCGTCGATCGGCTGCACAGATTCCAGCTGCAACCACGCCACCGTTCTTGAACTCGGACTTAAGGATGATCGATTAAAGAGCTGCAAGGGAAAATGGATATTAGAGAGGCGATGATGGCTGAAACGGTCGACTGTTTGTTTGTGTTGGTGCAAGAAGAAACAAAATAAGAAGAATGAAGAAAGGGGAATGAAAATAAAAAGAAGAAACGGAGAAGATCAGGGAGAGAGGTCGCAGAAGAAAGAAAAGAAGTAAGGGTGAAGAGAGAGAAGGGGTAAAAGAAAGAAAAGAATGGGAAAGGGGTAATTTTTTTAGGTATATATAGTGGGTATAGATGTGTGTACTAATGTGTGTACAAAGAGCAAAACTCTAAATCGATTAAGAGTTTTGCTCTTTGTACACACATTAGTACACACATCTATACCCACTATATATACCTAAAAAAATTACCCTTTCCGATTCTTTTCTTTCTTTTACCCCTTCTCTCTCTTCACCCTTACTTCTTTTCTTTCTTCTGCGACCTCTCTCCCTGATCTTCTCCGTTTCTTCTTTTTATTTTCATTCCCCTTTCTTCATTCTTCTTATTTTGTTTCTTCTTGCACCAACACAAACAAATAGTCGACCGTTTCAGCCATCATCGCCTCTCTAATATCCATTTTCCCTTGCAGCCCTTTAATCGATCATCCTTAAGTCCGAGTTCAAGAACGGTGGCGTGGTTGCAGCTGGAATCTGTGCAGACGATCGACGAGGATGGGACAGTGGGTTTTGGCAGCTCAAAAAAGAAGCTACGAACAACAACCTGTAATATTAAGGTGATAATCTAATTCGATTTTTCTATGTGCATTTTAGGGTTACATTTATTTAAATTTCAAGTTTTTTTTGTATATTATGTATGATATAGCATTGAATAGTTGAGTATTTTGTATTATGGTAAGAGAATGTAGTCTTTGTTCTTGAAATGTTAGTTCACTCACTCCACTTCTCACTTATGCTCATAACATGTTTGTTAAAATGACTCAATGGTTTTTTTTTAAATCCAAGACTTTCACTAAAATTTTCTATTAATTAGTTCAACATTCTAATGTACTTCTTTCCCAATTAAAATAATGACATAATTATTTTTATTTATTGGTTTATTTGATTATTATGTTTATGGTAGTTTATTTTGTAGTTTATTATACATGGGTGAATCCATGTAAATATGTTAAATGAATTATTGAAGCCAACTATACTTTGAATCAAATAGGTTACCAGATATGTTTGGAATGAGGTTAACATTGGTTTAATTTTTAGGAAGGATCTCAACACACTGCAAGTCCGCCCGGTTAATTTTTTTGCTGTTTGATCAAGATTCTGGAAGACTTTTGTGTATATGGGTAGATGTTTATCAATAAATGATGTTCCAGCTTTGAATTTTGTTCTTTTGGATCTGTCTCAAGTGCTATGAGGTATGGGACACAAGTAATGGGTTGGACCAGGCCTTGACGCAACATAATTTATACATTTGCATGACCATTGAAGTTCAGTCATTGCTCTCGGTACCACCAGCACCAGCTTGAACGTGATTTAAAGAGAACAACTCTTATTTTGATTCATTGAGCGATTGACAATTGATATTTACCTATAAGCAGAAAAGAGAATATGTATGTATTCAATATGTTATCTTATTGATGAATATGTATTTAATAATTTTATCTGAAATGTCCACATGACAATGTGTACTTGTGATTTAAGAATTGTCATTTTGTTCTTTTATTTTGTTCGTGTAAAGTTATTGTTTGTGTGTGGTTAAAATATTGTCTGTGTATGTTTTTATTTTGCATGTGTAGAAAAATTATTGTCCGTGTTTTCGTTTATATTGTTTATGCATGACTAAAACATTGATTTTGTGTTCGTTTATTTTGTCTGTGTAGCATATAATATAATTGTTTGTGTGTTTATTGGAGTGTATATTCAGTGTTTGTATTTCACTTTTATTTTGACTTTAATTAGACTTGAATTATTTGTATTTTCATAGTGTATCTTGTGTATTCAGATAATCACTTTCGATTTTGTCCAAGGAATTGAAATTATGCTTTTAGTACATTTTTAAGTTCATGGGAAAATCGCATATATGGTCTCTCAGTCATTCACGAAATTAAAATCTCAGACCTGTATTTCTGAGATTGTAAATGTCACCCCTTAATTGTCCAAAATGTTGTAAATGTGGTCCTTTTGAGGGGTGGAATATACAATGTGAGCGGGAATACATTTCACTGCTTAAAGGACTACATTTACAACATTTTGGACAATTGAGGGGTGACATTTACAATCTCAAAAATACAAGTCTGAAATTTTAATTTCGTGGATAACTGAGGACCACATTTATAACATTTTTGACATTTACAATCTCAAAAATATGTGATTTTCCCTAACTTCATTGAAAAACAAAATTGTTATTCATACTCATTTTGGTGACTTGTTGTAGATAATTTGTTTACGTTGGGGAAAAATAAATGAACACACAAACAATTATTATTTATGTCCAGACAAAATAAATGAACAAACAAACAAAATGATGTTTTGACGAAGACATAAATGATGTTTTCACAGACAATAAAGTGAAGACATAAATGATGTTTTGACGAAGCACTACAAAATTAATGAAGATGAACCGTTAACCGTTCATTTATTCTACATACAAAATAAATGAACATATAAAAAAATAATTTAACCACACATAGACAATATAAATGAAGACATGCGATATTTCAACTATTGACAAACAAAATAAAACCACACAAACAATGATTGTCTACACACAGACAAAATAAATAAACACACAAATAATTTTTTTAAGCACGCAGAGATAATATAAATGAAGACATAAGATAATTACCAAATATGGACATTTTAGATATAACTAAAATGAATCATAATCACGCCCAAGCAACTTATATGAACATTTCAAATATAATTACCAAATACATATTGATGGAAACAAACTTTCAAGTATATACAAGTATTAAAGCTCGGAAATGGATTTCACATGAAGCGTCTTGCTACAATTCAACATTAAACTCAGTTTAAGTTTAGGACAATTCGAGAAATGGAGAAACGAAAGGAAAATTTTGGGGGATGCACTAGTACTCCCAACTCTAAAAATGATGGTACTCTCTTTCTAGGACTCTGAGTCAACTTTGAAGGTGCCGCAATACATCTCACCCGACCTATCCACCTGCGGCACAACTTTCAGCTCATTTAGGGGTGCACATAGCTCTTTAAGCCTCCAGAAGAAGTGAAAAAGCATTCTGAGTATGGAAACAATAAATCACATATTATTATTTCGCTCTAAATAACATGCACTAAGCTGTCATATAGTGTAAGAACCATATCCAAAGACCACAACTAGGCTTCAAGAGTTCATAATTACTAGCAAAGTATAAAAATGCAATAATATATTAATGACAGTCACTCATCAAACATGATTGAGCGTCTATTTCATAAAGACATTTGATTCAATCAACATGCTCCTCATCACTGTAAAACTATATCCATTTATAAATGAGCAGTAAAAAAGTGCTTCAAGCAAAAACTAGTAAACCTAAAAACCAACCTTACAAAATAATTCATAAACCAACTTAAAACACTTAAAAACATAAAAACAGATTTATTGAACAAACTAGGGTCTGAACAAACCTATATCAATGTAAGAAAGTAGTCAAAAATTCAGCATAACATATACTCCACATAATTTACTTAAAATAGCAAAAGCATGCTAATCAAATAAATTAGTCAATAAAAACATACTACGTATAACATTATTTAAGTTGGGAAACAAGAAAGTTAGAATCTTGAACTAATTAGCAAAAAAGGAAAGTAAAAGTCTTGAATTTTAACAAAAATATTCATTGAGTCATTTCAACAAACATGTTATAAGCATAAATGTGAAATAGAGTAATTGAATTAAAACTTCAATAACTAACACTACATTCTCTAACAATAATACATATTATTCAACTAATAAGCCTTGTAAAATACATGATATACAAAAAACTGGAAATTTTAATTAAAAGTAACCCTAAAATGCACAAAGAAAAATCGAATTAAATCATTACCTCAATATTATGGGTGGTTGATGGGAGCTTCTGGTTTGAGCTACGAAAATCCATTGTCACTTTGTTTGTGTTGGTGCAAGAAGAAACAAAAGAAGAAGAAGAATATAGAGAAGGCACGGAGGAAATCAGGGAGAGAGGTCGCAGAAGAAAAAAAAGAAGTAAGGGTGAAGAGAGAGAAGGGGTAAAAGAAAGAAAGAAAAGAATGGGAAAGGGGGTAATTTTTTTAGGTATATATAGTAGGTATAGATGTGTGTACTAATGTGTGTACAAAGAGCAAAACTCATCGATTAAAGTTGGGCTGATCGAGACATGAGAAATATCTCTCTGACACGGTCACACGGTCCAACCTCCTCCACTTATCTCTGTGCGTTCAAGATGGAGTGAAATCATTTCATTTTGATCCTTATCTCATCGTCTGCGCTCGCTTTTCCTTTGGTGCTGTTTGCCAAGATCTTGGTCTGTTCTCGCGAGACTGTAAGTGTCTTTGCTGTTTATTTTTTTTTATTTATTCTCCCTCTGTGTTCCATCGTTGTGTGTACTGCGTTGGACCGCTTATTTTCTGGGATTTTTTTGGGAGGTCGGGGACTCAGGGAGGTTGCTGCCTCAAATAAGTCATACCCAGTACAGTGGATTTTAGAATTCAAGGGGATAGTACATACGAACACAAAGATCGCAACCACACCTTGGAGGCTCTGCATCGATATGCCGAAATGCTGAATAATTACGAATCATAATATAGGTTATATGACTATAGGGTTCCATTTTTTCCAAAACGGGGGACTTTAAAAGCTGACCTTTGGAATTGAGTTTACAAATATGAAATTCAGTTTGACTACAAATATGAAATACGAAATGCTTTTACACCTTTTGATCTCCATTTACAAATATGAAATTCAGTTTTATATGTGTCAAAATATAATATACAGGTTTTTGATTAATGTTATGAGTTATGAAATATGAAATTCAGTTTTATATGTGTCAAAATATAATATACAGGTTTTTGATTAATGTTATGAGTTATGAAATATGAAATTCAGTTTTATATATGTACCAAAATATAATATACAGCGTACTAAACATGTGGTACACCGTACCGAACGCGTACCGGGATGAACGTACCCCCTTCGAACCGGATACGCTAGATCCAGCGAACCGCGTTCCCGTTCCCCGTTCCCGTTTCGAATCGTTCTGCGAACCATGTGACCATGGTCGGGGTGGCGGCCTTGTTAGCTACTCCTCCTGGGGTGCTGCTGTGTGTTGGGTGCTGTGTCTGTTTGTTAATTTGAGAAACTGGGTTTGAAAGTTTGCCTTCTGGTTTTGACTATGGTTGACTGTTGTTTCCTGGTGTTAGGTGTTCCTGCTGCATTCCTTGGAGTTGCTGAAATTGTAAGCCTCTCATGTTCCTGTGCATAACTTTTAAGTGTCTGTGTCTTTTAGTTGTGTTGTGTTGGTGTTTGAGTATTGTTTTATGTGGGGTGTTCGTTTGTTTGACAGTGCTTGCATTAATAATGGGGATGTATGTGAGTGTCTTCATGTTACTAAATCGGGTGACAGGTTAAACCAAACCTGCCCAAAGCTATGAAATTTTTTAGACGCCCCAAAAAGCAATGAATTAAAAAATATAATAGAACATTGTGAATTATTCAAATAAGAAACTAATAAGACAATAAGAGATCAATTAGACAAAGTCTCAAACATCTTAAAACTTACCTCGTGGTCCAACCCTTTTCTTATCTGCTGGTGGTGGTGGTAGTGTACAGCATTTTCCAAGATAATCTTTTCTTCCAACCAAAAACTCCCCCAAACTATTTGAAGAATTGAATGTGAAAAACTAAAACCAAAGTAACATGATAAATGAGAAAGGGAAGATTTTTACCCTTAGTATTATGTGTATTACCCTGTGACAGGCTCCATGAAAGAGAAAATATACTGCTTCTAAATCTATATACAAAGTTCCAATGAGTGCATTATGAAGTACTCAAGGACAAAACCAAATTGTTATAAAAAGGAACAAAGATAGATGTAACATCACCTCCCAACATCATATGACATACCTGTTCAGAAAGCTAAGAAACATATTGACGATTGTCATTAGTAGAAGCTAATGCAACCTGCAGTAGTATGGGAATTCTTTCACGAAATTATGTATGGTTTTGGCATCTAAAACCCAAAAATATAGAATACCTTCGGATAGAAGAGTTTCATAGATTCCCAGTGACACTTTGAACCTTCTTTGAACCTGTGGTAGTCATTCTCCATGGCTACAACAAAGCAAGAGTATTACCAGAAACTCCTCACTTGTCCTTTGCAGGAAAGCATGCAGATTTTTTACTTTTACCTAAACGAGTTTCTTCACAGCTTGAATCAGCCACAACCTAAAGTAAAGCTACTTTGCATAAATTTTAAAAACATTTTGTCAAAAAAAAGGTAATGCCCAGTTTTTCCAGTAGATTATATTATAATATAATATAGGGTGTATGAGTTTAAATTTAGCATCTTCCCTTTTTAAAGATATATCAGTTGAAGTTCACGAAAAAAGATAAACAATAAATAGAAATACACACATAAAGATTCTTGAAAAAAATTATTCATCACTTGCCAATAATATCTTAAAGTTAACTCAAATTGAATAGTGTTGATCTCTATTGCATCCGCATAAAGAAATTGAATAAGACAAATATGTTAAGTTTGTTGATTTTGAAAAATGGAAGTTCGAGGACATATAAAACCTCATAAACCCACAAAATAGAAGCAGGGGAAAAAATCAAAGTAGGGCATTTGTAAAGTAGACTCAATTTGAAAAAAGAAATGGGGTGTTCGTTTGTTTGACGGTGCGTGCATTATTAATGGGGATGTATGTAGGTTTGTTCATGTTACTAGATTTTTTTTATGAGTTTGGGTTGTCATTAGATTATTATGCCTTTGAGCCGTAAAAGAAATTGTTTTTCCTTTTGTTACCAGTATTTTTGAACGACCCACACCTGGCCATTTTGTCTGAACGTCAGTTAAATAGTTTTCATGTTGGTTCGGTGTCAATAACCTTTTTTGTGTTTAGTTATTGACGTTAGTTTGCTGGCCGTTTGCATAGGCCTTGCTTGTCACCGAATTTTAAACCGTTTGTGCTCATCGCCCTGGAATGTAAAGATGATGTAGTTTTCTTCACTGCTGGTTATATAGTGTGCACTTTGCGCTTTTTTAGTGACACTATTGGGTTATGGTGCGCTTTACTTATCTAGACCGCTAGATGTCGGCGGAAGAAAAACGTGAACGTCGACTTAAGCGCCGACGTCTGACGTACAGCCAGCGGGTTACGGACAGTCGAGTCAGCAGCGCTTGCACCCCCATCTCTCGTGAACGGGTCTGTGCCCGTACAATTCTGCCAGGTTTGTCTCCCATGTACGTACAGTTTCTTTATGCTTTCTCTACGCTGGCGCTGTTGGATATACGGACTAACTAATTTTCCCCTTGGTGTTCCACAAATTCCCCTTTGATACTGTCTAAACAAATCCACCATTCTGCGCTTACATATGATCCTTGATATTGTTTGTTCCCTTATCATTCTCTCTCTAAACGGTCTGGCATCATTACATACACTTTCATTTAATTATCCAATCATTTGCCAAAAAAAAACTACAAACAATGTGTATTCTGCATACTGCTGCCTTTGCTGTGCTGTTGTCTCCGTCCTCTGCCTTCTTTTCCCCTTCGTGGCTATCTCGTTTTTAAAAAAAAAAACAATGCTGCCTTACTCTTAAAATGTTTGCGCGCTCGGTGTGTTCTTTTTCGGGCTTCACTTGATGACTTCCTGAACTGTTCTGCATTGGTAGTCACAGCTTCGGTGCCCGCCCCTGCGGAGGGCTCCAGCAACCCATCCCAGGTTAGCAATACCGTGTATCGGCTCCAAACCGTACCTGATTGCGCGCTGTGCGGTGCTCGGCGGTTTCAGTATGAGGCTGCAAGTATGTGCTGCAGCAAGGGTGATGTTGTTCTATCCTCCACAGAAATGCCAGCGGCTTTGGCCCGATTGTTCACGGTCCGTGACCCTTTAGCCAAACACTTTCAGTCATGCATTCGAACATACAACAACACTTTTGCCTTTACATCCATCGGGATCTACAACTATGACAAAAGTCTCTGTCGACGAAACCAGGGAATATACACATTTAGAGTTCAAGGGCAAATATATCATTTCATAAATGACTTACTTCCCGATGGATGTCCACCTCGAAATCTTCAACTATATTTCTACGATACGGACAACGCGCTTGCGAACAGGTTGGATTCAACGGATCGATTGGACAGTGAAGTGGTCCAGACATTGATGGAAGTGATGTGTGCAAACCCGTATGCTCAATTCTTTAAAACCCTGGCTGATGTGGATCAGGCTACCGAATTTTCAATTGTGCTTAATGGGAACCCTCGTCTCGATCAACGTGTTTACAACCGCCCAACAGCATCTCAAGTTGCTGCAGTCTGGGTCGAGGATGGGCATGAAGGCGTGGCCGCTGACAGAAACATTCGTGTGTATGCGCACAGTGGGAGGTCTCAGAATATCCATTACTATTACGGCTGTTATGACCCCCTGCAATATCCGCTTTTGTTCCCACGAGGAGAGGTCGGGTGGCATGAGGGGATTCCCAAAGGTGTTGCTGGCATGATGCAAGGAGGTTCTGCCCCTGCAATCTCACTCTCTGTTGCACCCAATCGTTTTGCAACAGATGAAAGGCTTATAGCGGAGGAAGCTCAATTGTTGAATGCGGGCAATAAGAGACATTCTGTTTCTTGTCGACAGTATTACGCATACAAATTGCAAATACGCCATGGAGATACCTCATTTGTCATGCACTCTGGTAGGCTCTTTCAACAATACATAGTTGACTTGTATATTAAGATAGAAACACAGCGCCTTGATTATTATCGTAGTAAACAGCGAGAATGTCGCGGTGAGACGTACCAGGGGTTAGTTGACAGCGTAGGCGCAGGTTTGGATAACACCACTAACGTTGGTCGCCGTATAATCCTTCCAGGATCATTCATTGGCGGCCCACGTGACATGCGGGTTCGCTACATGGATGCAATGGCGCTTGTCCAGAATTACGGCAAGCCAGATTTGTTCATCACCATCACTTGCAACCCGAATTGGCCTGAGATTAAAGAACATCTGTCCTTCGTTGATGAAGCCCAAAACCGTCCTGACCTTGTCGCCCGGGTGTTCCGAGCCCGCCTTGAAGAATTTAAAAAAGACATAGTGTCCAGATCTTTGTTTGGCAAGGTGGTTGCGTACACATATGTCATCGAGTTCCAGAAGAGGGGTCTTCCGCATGCTCATTTCCTACTTATACTATCCAGGGAATGCAAAATAACAACTTCTTTTCGGTGTGATCAACTTATTACTGCTGAATTACCGGATCCAATTATTGATCCTCGCCTGTATGACCTTGTTAAAAAACATATGATCCATGGACCATGCGGTGAGATGAACCCGCAGTGTCCTTGTATGGTCCCGTCACGGGGTTCGGGGCCCCAAGAATGCAGGAGTAAATTCCCCCACAGTAATTCGCCTGACACCGTGTTTGATGATAACTGCTTTCCTGCGTACAGGCGTCGTGAATCGGGGATCACTGTTCATGTAAGGCAGCATTTGCTAGATAACCGCTGGGTAGTTCCCTATAACGCCCACTTGCTGCGCAAGTATGACTGCCACATCAATGTGGAGGCTTGTGCAAGCGTGCGGTCGGTTAAATACATATACAAATATGTGTACAAAGGCCACGACAGGATCAGCATGGCAATATCAGAGGCAGGGAAAAATGAGGTTATTGATGAAATTTCTGACTTCCAAAAAGCCCGGTGGATTTCTGCGCCTGAGGCTGCGTGGCGCATATTTGGTTTCTCAATCTCGGAAATGCGTCCTGCTGTTCTTCAAATGCAAGTCCACTTGGAAAATTCTCAATATCTCACCTTTTATGGCAACCAGCGCATTACCTACATTACGCAGGACGCAGATTCAAAGAAAACTATGCTCACACAGTTTTTTTCCATGAACATGTACAACCAGGTTGCGAAATCCTTGCAGCTTCTCTATGTTGAATTCCCTCATTACTTTGTCTGGAATACCCAACGCAGGGAATGGACTCAGCGCAAAAGAAATGAAGTCATTGGCAGGCTTGTGTCTGTGAATCCCACAGAAGGGGAGCGCTATTATTTGCGACTTTTGCTTTCGAACGTGAGATGCCCAACGTCCTTTGAGCATCTCAAACGTGTTGCTGACAATACCATGCCAACGTACCGAGCTGCAGCAGAAGCGCTGGGCCTGTTGTCCGGTGATTTTGTAATACGGGCATCCCTTGATGAGGCAATCTTGTTTCAACTGCCTTGCAGCCTCCGCAAATTGTTTGCAACACATGTGTGCTTTTCAGACGTACCGAACCCACGTTTGCTTTGGGAAGAATACAAAATCCATTTGAGTGAGGACTTTGCTAGATTCCAAACGAGCCCGGCTGCTGAGGAAACTACACTGTTAGTATTGCGTGATCTGTTCACTGGAATGGGCAAGGATATTGACTCTTTTAATTTGGTAGATATTGAGCTGCGTGAAGATGCCACTGAAGGGGGGACGCGTGAGGTGTTGGCAGAACTTAACATTCTTGTCAGTGATGTGGACCTAAATGGCATTTCAGCGTTGAACACTTGCCAACGAGCAGCATTTGATTCAATCATGGCGGCTGTTCATACTTGTCAAGGTGGCGTCTTCTTTGTCGATGGCCCTGGGGGGACTAGGAAAAGCTTCCTATACAGGTGCTTGCTTGCTGCAACCAGAGTGAACAAATGGATAGCACTGGCAATAGCGAGCTCAGGTATTGCTGCATCGATACTCCCTGGAGGACGCACTGCCCACTCGCGATTCAAACTTCCACTTGATGGGGAATCAAAATATGTTTGCAATATTGGCAAACAATCTTCTGAAGCACGCCTTCTTAGAGAGGCACGCCTCATTTTGTGGGATGAGGCGTCCATGGCGAACCGGCTGATTGTTGAGAGTTTGGATACCACAATGCGAGACATACTGGGCGTTGATGCTCTTTTTGGAGGGCGTGTTATAGTGTTCGGTGGAGACTTTCGACAGACATTGCCTGTTGTCCGCTCAGGCACCAGACATGACTTTGTAGATGCTTGCCTTCTAAGATCAATGACTATATGGCCACACGTCCATCGCCCACGCCTTTTCGAAAATATGCGTGCCCATGAAGACCCTGAATTTTGTGACTACCTCCTGCGTATAGGCAATGCAACTGAACCCACTGTATCTTCTGGCCGGATAAGAGTCCCTTCCAACTTTGCTATTCCTTGGGTCAATGAAACCGTCTCACTTGACTTACTGCTTTCTGTTGTATACCCAGATCTATGCTTATTCCAAACCGACCCTTATTCTCTAATGTCTCGCGCCATATTAACGACAAAAAATGACATAGTGGATTTTATCAATGCATCCTTAATGTGTAAGTTCCCTGGAGATGAACATACCTTCCTTAGCCACGATGTTCCTGTTGACTCAAAGAATGCACACTGTGAAGATTATTTACACACTTTGTCCCCCACTGGATTACCCCCGCATAAATTGACTTTAAAGCATAATAGCCCGATCATGTTACTTCGGAATCTGAATCCATGTGATGGCTTATGCAATGGAACCCGTTTGATTTGCGATTCATTTGGGGATCACATACTGAGCTGTTACATCGCTACGGGCGACCACAAAGGGAAACACGTGTTCATTCCTAAAATCCCGCTAGAAGTATCGCGGTATGAAAAATGCCCTGTTCCATTTAAGCGCACGCAGTTTCCGGTGAAAGTTTGCTTTGCCATGACAATTAACAAGTCGCAGGGTCAAACGCTCGACTTCGTTGGCATATATTTGAAAGAACCTGTTTTTTCTCATGGGCAGCTTTATGTTGCAATGTCAAGAGCTCGGAATGCAGGTTCCATCAAAATTGTTATTTGTCCTGATGATCCCCAACCAGCCTTGGCGCACACGACGCCAAACATTGTGTTCGAAGAAATAATGCCTTTCATTAATTAGGTTTTGAGTTATTTGTAGTATGTTTTGATCTCATCCTCACAGATTATGCCGTTATTTACCTGCGATTGACTAAACTGCCTGCCTAAACATCGCAGCGACCCATTACAATATGGCGGCTGAACTGCCCATCGTGTCAATCATGCCAGAAACCCGCCCATGGACCTGCCGCGTTACAGTCGTGGAGAAGCAGAATGTACGCACTGCAAAAGCTTCCCCCATGAAGTTCATGCCGATGATACTAATGGATGCTGCTGTACGTTCTGTTTTTTTTTTATATTCCAGGTATTCCTGTCTTTAAGTTTTGCTATGCCCAGACTGATTAATTTATTGGATTACTGTTAACAGGGGAACAGAGTGCAGGCTACTGCATTCCAGGGTGATATTGAAGGGATAGACCAACACCTTGCGTTATACTCGACGTATCTTGTCTCAAATGCGTATGTGAAGGCGATCACTGACATGCGCTTCTGTGTTGACAGAGAATACCCTTATGTTTGGTCGTTCACACGCCGTACCTTGATCCAAGATGTTCCTGCAGAGGAAGGTCGGGACTTCCGTCAGCTGGCTGAGGCAGATACCACCCCTTTTACTGAGATGTACACTGCTTATTTGCACGAAGAACGTATCAGTAAGCCTTTGTTGTTTGTGTGTATATTTGCGATAACGCCTTTTTGTTTAGATGATGCATCCTTACCCCATGCCAAACTACAGATGTTTTGGCTGCAATTGTCAAGAAACTGCCGCGCACCTTTGTGTTTTCCAATGGCGTGCAGAAACCAGCATGGGATGTGGTTCTCATTGATGCACAGTAAGTAGCCCGTCTATTTAATTGGCCTTCGTTGTTATAACCCTGTCACTGCACTCATTTCATATTTGCTTTTGATTCTGATAGGTGCATTCCAGTACCGTTTACTATCTGGGAGGAATTCATCACCCGTCATGGTTGTGAGATTGAGAAGTACTTGCAAGCTGGTGATTTCCCTCTACTGCTGATTAACAGGGCTGCCATAACCCTTTTCCAAGGTAGACAAACATCACCTCCGTGAACTTTACTGTCTGCTGCCATGGCCCTTCCTGTTTATGTTGTGCGCACTCATATTTATGATTGGTTTACTACAACGCTCAGGTCTGGCTCTTTCAACTCGCTTTGACTGCCATATCGAACTGAATCCTGACGGAGAACGGGCATTACAGCTGAAGAAATGGTAGGTTGTTCGTTTACTTGGCCATGCATTTGTTTGGTAGCCCCTTTACCTTGGAGTCGAAATGTCCTTTTGCAACTTTATTGTTCATACTGCCAGGGTCGGTGAAAACAAAGAAAAAATCAATGAATTATTGCAAGCGAGAGCATATGACGACGCACTTACAGTAATTGCCAAGCCTTTTTCCCAGCCTTTAACTGCCCTTGCAGATTTGGAAGGTGACCTGAATGAGGTATGCCCTGCTGAAAATAGAAACCCATTCTAATTTTCATTTATTCAGTCAGCCTACTCATTCTTGACCTTCCCTACTCCCATTGCACAGAACCCCATTGTATGGGTGTCTAGCAAGTTCCGCTTGTCAGATACATCCGAAGAGGGCTCCTACATTGGTTGCGACTACTGCAACCGCAAGGTCCACGGAACAGAAGGTGTGGTTTTCCAGTGTTTATTCTGCGGCCAGAAGAACGGCAAAACTGTCAAAAGGTACATTTATCCTCCAACATGCATTGTACTTCTTCAGAGTTGTTTGCTGACATTAGGGACAATGCAGGTTTAGGCTCAACGCTGCGCTGGATGATGGAACAAACGTTATACCAGTCACACTTTTCACCAGCGAGGTCCTGCAACTGTTGAAATTTGTCAAGGTGGACCCTGCAAGTGACATCGACCTGGAATCCTTAGCTAAAAACCTGCTTAACATTGCCGTTGTGTCCGGGGTGAAGCGGTCCAGGCCCAACGATGAGGGTCTCCTCGGCAATCCATACGCCATCGTCTGTGTCGCTCCTTTCGAGAAAACCACCCCCGGCTCCCCAATTGATATCCCTGTTCCGCTCCCCACTGAAGCTGCCCCGTCAACTCCTTCAAAAAGAAAACTAAACTTTGGGTCCCTGGGTGAGCTAACTGCTACACAGTCACCCTCATCGTCCAAACAGGTCCTGGCAAAGGACAGTGTTCCGGAGGAGACACTTGCGAGCCTGCCTCCCAAACAATGCAGGACCAGCAACACTTGATGATCTGTGTAAATTTTTTTTGCTGTGATATAAGGTGGACAATGCAGACTTCAAAGGAAAAAACTGTTTGCAGCTGATGCATGCCTGCATTTCCCTCAATCCCCCTTTTGGCACATGTAGTTACGTATAATAGGCAGGAAATAATAGAGCAGGTGTCGCTTTACTTGTTTCTGTATTGTGCATATGCTTGCACCCTTTCCTCACTGCGGCATCCAATAATAATAATAATAATAATAATAATTATAATAATAATAATAATAATAATAATAATAATAATAATAATAATAATAATAATAATAATAATAATAATAATAATAATAATAATAATAATAATAGTAATAATAGTAATAATAATAATAATAATAATAATAATAATAATAGTAATAATAGTAATAATAATAATAATAATAATAATAATAATAATAATAATAATAATAATAATAATAATAATAATTATAATAATAATAATAATAATAATAATAATAATAATAATAATAATAATAATAATAATAATAATAATAATAATAATAATAATAATAATAATAATAATAATAATAATAATAATAATAAAAATTTGGTCAATTTATATCACTCTGAAGGCATGATTTAGTTTATATATCAAACTTTTATAAAATTTGATTTTTTTGTGACTTTGTAGAATTTTTATTTTAGTATCTAAATATGTAAATTGTATTTACTAAAAATAATTAATTTGAGTGTTGACATGGATCAGTTAACTTTATCATTGCACAAACACCGTAAATTATCGAAATATAGTCTAGTCTATTTAAGTTTGATCTGATATGTCTCGTCTATTTGAGCTTTTACAACTGAAACTAATCCCAGTAGGAAACGAAAACATAGTAATAAGAAATTTCCTATCTATTTTCCACCAATGCTCTCGATTTAAGTAATGCACTTATATTTGGATTTTAAAACTTATTCTTAAAGAGATTTTGGAAACGAAAAGGACAAAAAACAAAATACTACCTCCGTCCCCCTAAGTTTGGGACAAGAGAAAGTGTCACGGTTATTAATAAAAGTGGGTTTATGTGGTTGATATTGAATTGATAAAGTAAGAATAAAGTAAGAATGCTTTAGAACCACACAAATTTTACCAAATAAGGTATGAGAAAATCTTAGTGGGACGGACCGAAAAGGTAAAATGGGACAATCATAGCGGGATGGAGCGAGTATTTTCTATTATCCGAAACTATACATATGCACATATAATAAATTAATTATATACTCCGTATATGTTAAGGAAAATATTTTTAAAATGATATTTTTAAAGTTGAGTTCTTATTTTAGAGCTATTGAAGTGAATTGATAAAGTGAGGTGTGAGGAAAATTGATTTTTTATTCTATAGTTTAATGACGGTTTTTAGTGACTGAATTCTTTCCGTCATTATTTGTTGGCGAAAGTTAATGACGGATCGGTCCGCCACTAAACATCGGCAGATCGTAATCTCCCACTAATATCCGTCACTAAATAGCGACGGAAAAGTTTCCATCACTAAAATCCGCCACTAATTTCCGGAATTCTTGTAGTGGTTGCTTATTGTTATTTACAATTAATTCTGATTTTTTTCAATTAGATTTCTATTCGTATGTGCTACATGTTGGAAATTTATTGAGAAATGGAGCTCAAGTGTTCAACATAATTTTTGGAATATTATTTTTTATAATTATTGCCAAGCTTTAATTATTAAAGATAATTTAATTATAATTATTATGATGAATTGTGAAAATCACAGGTGATTTAGTTCACAATTCAAATAATAATAATAATGATTGAATACTTTTTAATGGTTTGTGCATGTGTACGTTTTTTGTAAAGTAACTCCTAAAATTGATTTTAAATTTGGAATTCCTTTTTGTCGCATGGAATTTTCAAAAGGTTCGTTCATTTGTTAGTTTTTCATTTAAAGGGTGCAGCCCTTTTGAAAAGTCATAATCCTTGATCTATGGATTACTATTTTGGAGATATATTTTAACTAAATTCATCCGACATTTTTAATACGGGAGTTATAAACCAACGCACACTGACACAACCATTAACTTGGGACTCTTCCTCTCTATAAAAGGAGGGAAGTTTGTTGAACACGGTAGTAGAACATTTTTTATCTTGGTCAGTTTACATTGCCTTATTTAATTACTATTATCTGCAGTGATAGTGATAAAATATTTAGACCACTTTATATAAAAATCACTTGTTTGGTGTTATTTTGTTAGTAACCAAAATACACTGCACACCTTCTTTTTATCCCAAAAGTTCTATCTTGTAACCCGGTTACTGCGATAAGGGTAGATAGTAAACTTTTAGGAAAACGTATTTAATACGTGATTAGAAGTGATATCCGGTCCAGCCATATTTCACACCCTTATATTTCACTATTTTTATCCTCCTGTTCTAACAATCTAAAAGTTTACTAGTCCGAAATTATGGCCGCTACTCAACGTGATATCATCAACACCAATTTTCAAAAATTGGAAAAGTTTGAAGGTGTGGAGTTTCAAAGATGGCAGAAAAAGATGCATTTTCTGCTCACTACTTTAAAAGTGGTTTGTGTGTTAAGCACCCCGAGGCCACCCGAGGATGATGAAAACGAGACATTGGAAACAAGCCGCCGCCGCATAAAGTGGGACAACGACGACTACATTTGTCGTGGGCACATTTTGAATGGTATGTGTGATTCTCTTTTTGATGTGTATCAAAATGTTGAGTATGCTAAAACATTATGGGGATCGCTAGAATCTAAGTACATGATCGAGGATGCTTCAAGTAAGAAATTTCTCATTAGTAACTTTAATAGTTACAAAATGGTGGATTCCCGTCCGGTCATGCATGGAGCAATTTCATGAGATTCAACGTTTATACGATCAACTTTTGATACACAACATGCATGTAAATGAAACCTTTGCAGTTGGTTCTATAATCGACAAATTACCACCGTCATGGAAGAAAGTGAAAAATAGCCTCAAACGCAAAAAGGAGGATTTGTCAATGGAGCAACTTGGTCGCCGAGTTCAAATTGAATAAGGCATTAAGTTGCGTGAAGGTGACAATGGTAAAAAGAACGACCTTCCGATTTCCTCTATAAATGTTATGGAGGAGGGACAATCGAGTGGGACTAAGAAAAATAAAAAACGTCCCAAGAAATTCACCAAAGGTTCCAAGTTTCAAAAGAAGCTCAAAAATAAGAAAGTAGGCTCTTGTTGGGAATGTGGTGGTCCACATTTCAAGAGGGACTGCCTGAAGGTGAAGAAGAAGAAAGCCCAACCGAACGGCCATCCTAACGGTGGCCAAGACAACCAAGTTCGGAATATTTTTGTAGTTACAAATGATGTTGATAACAACATGATTTTTGTAGCTATGCTTTCTGAAATTTGTGTTGTGCAGGATGATAAATCTTGGTGGTTCGACACCGGAGCAACAAGGCATGTATGCAAAGATAGGCAAGCCTTTAAGACTCTAAAAGAGTTGGAAGAGGGGCCGATCTTATACATGGGAAATGATTCTACTGTGCAAATTCAAGGAATTGGCCAAGTAGAGTTGGAATTAACTTCCGGGAAGAAATTAATTCTTAATGGTGTGTACTTTGTACCACAAATCCGGAAAAATCTTGTCTCCGGTGGCATCCTAAATAACTTTGGATTTAAACTTAGCTTTGAAGCAAATAAGTTTATTTTATCTAAGGGTGGTGTATTTGTAGGCCAAGGTTTCTTTTGTAATGGCATGTTCAAACTAAGTGTTGTAAATAAAGTTGTTAATTCTGTGTATATGGTTTGTGATTCTTCTTTGTGGCACAATAGGTTATGTCATGTTAATTATCGTAGACTGAGTGACATGTCTAAAGTAGGATTAATTCCTTGTTTTTAATGTTAACATAGAATTTTTATCCTCATGTTCTAACACTACATACTTATTTGGAACACAAAATCTATATATAGATATGTATATGAAACACCTTTAGTAACAAATGTGATTATATGGGCATTAACAACAAGAAACATAAAGAAACATGGAGAAACAACAAGAAACAAAAATTATAAAGTTATCAACAAAAAGAAACAAAAAGAAAACAAAAATTTTAAAGTTATCAACAAAAAGAAACAAAAAGTTGATAATATTAAGGGAAAATGAAAACTAATAATCCAACCTTTTAGTGGTCTTCTTATAATAGTCCCACCTTTGGATTATTCATGAATAATCCAACCTTTGCACCTCATCTTCATTCACTGGTCCCTGACCGGTTGATGACCTACTATTCCAAGTTATTTTCTTATCTTTGCAAAATATTATCTTTGTGAAAGGTGAGATTTATGGTATAATGGTTTGCAAAGATAAGAAAATAACTTGGAATAGTAGGTCATCAACCGGTCAGGGACCAGTGAATGAAGATGAGGTGCAAAGGTTGGATTATTCATGAATAATCAAAAGGTGGGACTATTGTAAAAAGACCGCTAAAAGGTTAGATTATTAGTTTCCATTTTCCCTAATATTAACTGATTTTTTTCCTTTTAAAAAAACTATTAAATAAGAAATTCAGATTTTTTTTTAATTTCCATTTATGTATATGTGTGTAGTATATTAATTTTGAAAAGATTAATTTTTCGAGTTTTTTAAAACTTACATGCTTTAAAAGTTTTACAGAATAGCTGTTATGTTTTTAAAATTTTACAAGTTATATTTTCTGTTTTTATTTTAATGAATAAAATACTCTTTCAAAAATCTAATGTTTTCAAATTTATATTTTATATATTTCAGTTTATTTATTTTACTTTGTATATATATATATATATATATATATATATATATATATATTCTAGTTTTAAAATTTCATACAAATTTTAAATTGTATTGTTTGAGATTTTATTGTCTAAGATTTTATTCATATTTTTTAGTGTTCATACAAATTTCTGATTTTTATGTTTTAAAGTACATATTTAATTTTTGTACATAGATTCAATATATTTTATTTTCAACACAGATATATTTTTTCAATCATTTATCATGTTTCTGTTTTATACATTATTTCTGAGTTTATAATGTTTTTCAGTTTTAGTATTTTTAGATTTTTAAAATATTTAAATTTTTTTATATTTTTAGTAACTTCAGAAAAGAGTTTGATCTAAATATTGTAGTTTATATGTAAATTATTTAATAGGTATAATCATTTTTTAAATTTATAGTTTAACACTTTCTTCATTTTGATGTTAAAAATTGTATATTTTCTCGTTTTT